CAGAGCCGCCCCCCCGCCCCGCCCCCCCGATTCAAAACAGTCCAGTGGCACCTTTAAGACCAAGGTTTATTCAGGTACAAGCTCTCCCTCCTCTGCCAGGACAGATCTGCGCATCCCCCCCAATAGCTAGCAATCCAGTGGAGCCAGCAAACCGTCCAGTGGAGCCTGAGCGGTGGGTGTTGCCCTATGACACACTTCCGGTGAGGTCAGGGGGTGTGGCATATGCAAATGAGTTATGCTAATGAGTTGTGCTAATGAGCTCCTGCACCTCTTTTTCTACGAAATGACCCCTGATTAAAACATGAGATTTAAATAAAAACCACGATGTATAAGATCATAGGTGCTAGTAAACATAAGTGCTAGTATACGATGGTGGCGTTCTCTCGGCATCCAGATAGTTAACAACCACCATAGTCTGGGTTGTTGCCAGGCTGTTGGTTCTTAAGTTGGTACTGATATTGGGGCCAGGGCCACAGTATTGGGAGGCGGCACCCTAGTCAAAAGCCTGGTCGAAGAGCTCCATTTTACAGGCCCTGAGGAACTGCAGAAGGTCCCGCAGGGCCCTGATGTCCTCCGGGAGCTCATTCCACCAGCAAGGAGCCGCCACAGAGAAGGCCCTGGCCCTTGTCACAGCCAGCCTGGCTTCTTTAGGGCCTGGAAGGGCCAGACAGTTTTGGGACCCCGATCTTAAGTGTTCTCTGGGGATCATGTGGGGAAAGGCAGACCCTTAGGTAAGTAGGTCCCTGACCATATAGGGCTTTATAGGTAAGAGCCAGCACCTTGAACCAAATCCGACATGTTACAGGCAGCCAGTGCAGTGCCTTCAGCACAGGCCGGATGTGCAATACATCCCTTTCTTCCTGGGAGGTCATCGCAGCCCCCTTCTAAGCACTTTTACTCAGAAGGCGCCTCACTGAGGGCCGAACTAGATGAGAATCCAGTGCTCCACATCCAGAGCTCCTTGCCTTCTTCAAAAACTCAGTTATCGTGTGCGCAGGGGCCCAGTTCAGCTTTATCTATCAGATCTGACAGCGATTCTCGAATACCGACAACAACAACACTCCCCGCTTACTTTCCTCCTTCACAGTTCCAAAAGAGAGGGGTGGTGTTGATGTCCCCTCCCAAAAAAAACACTTGCCTAAAATGGCCTGCTCCCATTCTACATGCTCCCTATGGTTGCCGGCCTCCAGGTGGGACCTGGGGATGACAGAATTACAGCTCATCTCCAGACGACAGAGATCAGCTCCCCTGGAGAAAATGGCTGCTTCGGAGGGTGGACTTTGCGGCACTGCCCCCCAC